CCTCGTGGAATGCAATCCTGGACGCGCAGCAGTTTATAGAGGGGTCGGCGGATGTGGCGAAAGCCGATAGAATCTGAGTAGAACACCACTCCGCTGGACCTCCAAGCCTCCACGGGGCCCACGAACATCGCGACAGCTACGCGATTAACAACACCCAAGGGAAGCGATGCCCCGACTGGATATGCGTAACACGTTCATCCGCTCGGCCCCCCAAAAGCTCACAAAAGTGGCGACAGATGCACAGTAGCCAGCACCCAGGGAAGGCGAGGTCCCAGTGTGATCTGCGTAGGACGTCACTCCGCTGGACCTCCCAGGAGCCAGCGAATGTGGCGACGGTTGCACGGTTGCCAGCACCCAAGGAGGGCGAAATCTTACCATGATCTGCGTGGGACGTCATTCCGCTGGACCTGCCGGGAGCTGACGAAAGTGGCGACGGTTACGCCATTGGCAGCACCTAATGGTGGCGAGATTCCATTCTGATCGGCGCAGGACGTCACTCCGCTGGACTTCCCAGGGGCCCTGGAAAGTGGCGACGGCTTCGTGGTTGGCAGCGCTCAGGAAGGGTGAGGTTTGATATCGTTGGTCTGCGTAGAAAACCACTACGTTGAGCCCCGAGGGGCCCACGACAATGACAACAGTTGCGCAATTAACAGCACACAGGGAGGGCGAGGCCTAATTTGAAGTTGGGCAGTAAGACATCACTCCGTTGGACCTCCAGGCCTCCATGGGGCCTGCGAAAGTGAAGACAGTTGCGCAGTTGGCAGAATCCAGGGAGGGCGAGGTTTCATTCTGATCAGCGCAGGACGTCACTCCGCTGAACCTCCTGTGCCTCTCCTTCTTTTCTGTGAAGGACGACACTCCGCTGGACCTCATAGAAGGCCACGACAGTGGCGACGGCTATACAGTGCGCAGCGCCCAGGGAGTAGAGAGGCAACAAGTGAAGGGAAACTCAGGGAGGCGGGAGGAAAGAGGACGAGGCAACAACACCCTGTCCAGCACGAGAACCAGCCCAGCGCAGGAGGATCGGAAGCAACGCTCCCTATTTTGTCTACGATTGCTGCCCTCTCGTGATTTCGGCCGTCGTTGGTGGAGTTCGGGAGGGGACGTGCTTCGTCGAGTGCTGCCCTCGATCTGCCCAGCGGCTGCTTCTCCCCCACGCGGGCTCCAACACTGTGCGGGATGACGATTAATAAAAAGATGGGGGGGAACGATTAAACAAATAGCTTTCTGCAATTTCTGCAGAATTTTCTGACTGGAGGAGAACGATTCAAAGAAATAGTTTTCCAGCCCGCGGCCGGTTTTTTCTAATCGTCATCCCGGGCGCCGCCGCGTGAACACGACCCCCGGTCATTTATCAATCGTCATCCTCCATTAACGAGGTGTCAATCGCCACGGGCACGAAGGCTAATGGCAGCGGTGATTCAATATGGGCCGGCGGAGTGGGCGAAGCGGTGGAATAAAGACACCATTGATTACACCGATGACTGCAAACCCAACTGAGAGCTTGAAGAGCAGGCAGAACGCTGTGAAACCCTCGTGGACCTCCTCTACCAAGAAGCGAGCGATGTGTGGCCAATTAGCGAGCGTGAGCTCGAACATTGACAACATTGACCGTGAGTATGTCCCAAAGTACCGGAAGAGTTGTGCCTTGACGTCCTCTTTCAGGTGTGAGTGCTCGCCCAAGTATGTGAGGCGGAAGTACTGGGACAACACCATGGCGAAAGCTGAGAGGATCATCACCAGCAGTATCGCCGAAAAGAAGAATGCCCCGATACCTCTGTTGATCGCGGTAATCATGAGGTGGAGGGGGTCCAAACAAGAAAAAACCCGAATAAATCGCACCAGCCTTGTGATCCTGATGAGACGCAGGACGCGCATGAACTTCGCCATCTCTAGAGGCCCATTCTTCATGATGAGGGTCAGCATCGAAACCACTACGACCACAAGGTCAAGAATATCCCATGGTGCCCTCCAAAAGGGCTTCCTCACGTTGCACGTCAAGCCCAGGGCTGCCCTGCACAAGTCGTACGTGTAGACGAGCGCAATGCGCCGACCCCATTGGGGCCACCGACGCGTCTCAGACCCCCACCCTCTTCGCTCCGAGCTCGCCCCCAAAGTCGGGGCCAGCCTGCGAGGCGGGGCCAGTGGTCTACATCCAACGCCCTGGGAACCGGCGTCCTGGGACCGCGGGCGTGCGCGCGAACGCGCGCGTGCGCGTGCACGCGTGCGGCATATGAACATCAATTGAGAATAGCCAACTTAACTTGGAAAACTGAATGGTGAACACTAATCGTGTTACTCGCATTCTGGGCATCAATAGAATGGTGCGGAGTTAATCTGGCCCAAAGAAGGTCCGAATTGATCCACACCCGGGTACGAATCTATCCACACCCACCGCCTGCCGAGGTCCCCGAAGATCGATCACCCCAGGCGGTGGTCATGAATAAATCACTCGGAAGATCTGCGCGGTCTTGTAAGGGGAGCAGTGGCGCAAGATAAAGGCCCAGCAGTGCTCCATTTTTCTTGATCCGAACGCGCGCGCGCAAACGCGAACGCCCAGCCCCTCCCCCCACCTCACCTTGCGTCAAATCCACAGCGCCGCGCACCTCCTCCCCGACTGCCGCACCCCCGCACATTTCGGCGCAACCCTCGCACATGTCATGCACGCACGGGAAGCTCTCAGTACGGCCCCCCTGAGCGCGTGCGTATGCCGCCCCCCGCCAATTTCGGCGCACCCGTCGCACGCTCCGGGCCTCCATGGGGAGCTGGCCCCACTCACGCGTCTCGCGCCCCTCACTAGGAAGGCGCTACACCTACGGCCTCAGTGGGCATGCGCGCATACCGACCTGCTCCAACTCTGGCACGCTCCTCACACACTTCGTGCTGCACAAGGAACCGAACTCCATACATCCTGCGGTGCGTCGTACATGGCGAGGGGGCCACACACTGCGCTACATGCAGACGCGTTGGTTGGGCCCCTCGCATGGCTAGTACAGCTGTCTTGAAGGAAGCGCCGAACATCGCTGGACACTCAACCATTTTCCAAGATGGCTCTAGAAGGCCTCCAGGAAGACCTACACGAGAGAGCAGCAAGCTGTTGTTTGTGCATTGGCTTTCCAATACTTTCGGCACGGGATGGTCACGGGAGCGCCCCACGGAGCTCCAAGACGCCCAAAGGCCCGAAGGCGCTGCAGAAAAGTCTCCAGGGGAGCCCAAGACGGCCCACAAGGCCGGAAGGTGGTCCAACATCCAAAAAGTCAACAAGAGGGCCCGCTCAGGGAGGGTCCCCACACACGCAAAGACAGCGCAAGACAGCACATGAGGGCGTCACCAGATCCTGAAGGCGTCCCAGAAGGGCCAAGAGAAGCCCCCAGACAGCCCAAGACATTCCGGAGAGGGCTCCAGGACATGCCCAAAGTCATTGTGAAACTCACTCTCCCTCTCTCCACCGCCTCCTCCTTCTCAATTTCCTCGTCCTCAGCCTTTCCCTCCTCCTCCTCCTCCTCCGCCTCCTCCTCCTCCCACTCCTCCTCCTCCTCCTCCTCCTTCTCCTCCTCCTCCTCCTCATCATCAGCAACACCCGCATCCGCATCCGCATCAGCATCAACATTATAATCAACAGTATCAGCATCAGCATCACCATCATCAGCAGCATCATCGTAGTCGCCATCATTCTCAGCAACATCATCATCATCATCATCATCATCATCATCATCATCATCATCATCATCATCATCATCATCATCATCGTCATCATCATCATCATCGTCGTCGTCATCGTCGTCGCCATCGCCATCACCATCACCATCATCAACCTTGTCAGCATCATCATCAGCATCATCATCAGCATCCTTATCATCATCAACATTATCAACATCATCATTATCATCATCATAACCATCGTCATCATCAGCACTGTCATCAACCGCATCACCATGATCATAATTAACCAATAGCAGCAGCATCAGCATCAGCATCAGCAGCATCATCATCATCATCATGAACACCATCATCAGCGTCACCATCATCACCGTCATCATCACCATAATCATCGTCATCATCGTCATCATCATCACCATGATTCCGTCATCATCAGCAGCAGCACCATCACCATCACCATCACCATCGCCATCACCATCAACACCATCATCAGAACCATCATATCACCATCATCATCATCATCACCATTAAGCATCATCATCATCATCATCAACATCATCACCACCACCATCATCATCATGATCATCACCATCATCTGAGCATCAGCATCGTCATCATCAGCATCATCGTCATCAATATTGCCACCATGATGCTTATCATCAGCAGCAGCAGCAGCAGCATCAGCATCAGCACCAGCAACATCATCATCATCATCATCATCATCATCATCATCATCATCATCATCATCATCATCATCATCATCATCATCATCATCGTCATCATCATCATCATCATCATCATCATCATCATCATCATCAGTATCATCACCATCATCATCAGCATCATCACCATCACCATCACCATCATATCATCCTCTTCCTCCTGCTCCTCTTCTCCTCCGCATACGCCTGATCCTTTGTCATCGTCGTCTCTCTTTATGGACAAGCATTCCCAACAACTGATGAAGGGTTCGCGGATGTGTCGCCAGACAGGTTAATTTCGATCGAGAACAGTGCCAGAAAGACGCAGTCCACTGTGAACATGATCTGCCCGATTGAGGGCCACCATTGGTTCATGTACTCGTCGGTGCCATAGCGCGTGTAGAAGCCGATCTGGGCGCCGTTCTTCATGCCCAGGTGCTCTTCTTCCATCATCATGGCCACGATGTTGAGGCCCACCACCACCGCCCAGAAGGCCACGAACCTGGGGCTGCCCACCACTCTGTGCAGCACCCGGAAGGCGGCAGGCGCGCTGTCGTGCTTCATCTTCTCCAGCTCGAGATCTCGGAGCGTCCCCCCCTCTGAGTATTCTCTCTTGAGCTCCCTCAGCATGACCGTCTCCTCCACCCACTCTGACGGGCTCCTGCGAGGGATGCTCGGAGTTATGACCTCGTCGAGCACATCAAGCTGCTCCAGCTGCGACATGAACTCTTCGGCGTCCTCTGCCGACGCCGACGACACCGACAACGCGCGCTCCTATAGGGCAGCCAAGAAGAGGTACCGATACCGCGACTCCCGGGACCTCCCGGAGTGCGTGCCGAGGCGGCGAAGGAGGCCCCCGAAACAGCGAAAACGAGGGAAGGGCAGCCGCATCGGTACCTCTGCCTCCTCCTCCTCCTCCTCCTCCTCCTCCTCCTCCTCCTCCTCTGAGCTCCGGGTGGACGGGTAGCACGAACTCTGTGCTGAACCTCACCCTGGAGTTGAAGCTCTCACTGGTCAGGGATTCCTTGCTGGGCGTCCAAGAAGCGGGTAGGTACGGAGGACATGGGCACGGTGCCCGACACTGACAACAAACGTTGTCCCAAACCGACAACGGCCGCTGTCGGGCATGCGGCCTTCTGTCTCAAATTGACAACGCCCGCGAAGATACCGACAGCGAACCCTGTTCAACATGAACAAGACATGCTGTTGGTCTTCGTAACTATTCTTTTTTCCGTACTCCGGAGTTCACAATCAAAGGGTGGTGATCTGATTCGGGGGGGTCTGACTTGAGCTGTCTTTGGGCAGAAGGCAGCCGCTTCATGGCTGGTCGGGGGGAATCTAAAACTGCTCGTCTGGGAGGGCTGTGGCTGTGACCCCCGTCCTTCTGCTACCAAACTCGGAATGCCCCTTCCGATCGCACCGATCCTTGAGGTCCCTGCGCCCTCGCAGGCCGTCCTCCGCCGGGTCCTGCCGGCTGCGCCGAGGAGGGGGGCCGGCCGGGGACCGGGGTCCGGCGCCGCGCGGCCCGAGGCGCGCGCGCGGACGACGGGGCCACGGGGGCGCATCCGAGGTAAGGGGAGGGCATGTGTGGGACGCCACGGGGCTGAACCGAAACGGTGTTTTTCGTTCTCGTTTCGGTTTCGCCCTCCCTCGTGTCTGCTTCGGCATACCCGCCTCCAGCGCAGAGCGGAGCCGAAGCGAGAACGGCCCACGAGATCGCCCAAACACCGTTCAGGTCCAGCCCTGGAACGCCAGACAGAGAGAGGACCGTCCAGAACACGCGGCCAGCAGAAGTGAGGAGGAGGAGGAGGAGGAGGAGGCGGAGGAAGGCGGAGGAAGGGGGAGGAGGAGGGGGAGGAGGGGAGGAGGTAGAGGAAGGAAGAGGAGGAGGAGGAGGAGGAGGAGGAGGAGGAGGAGGAGGAGTGGAGGAGGAGGAGGGAGGAGGAGGAGTGAGGAGGAGGGAGGGAGGGAGGGAGGGGAGGAGGGAGGAGGGAGGGAGGAGGAGGAGGAGGAGGCGGAGGAGGAGCAAAAGCCCTCCACGGTGAGGCTGGGCGGGCCCTTCCGGCTCTCCGGGAGGGGCGGCAGGCTCGGGCGGGGCCGTCCGCGCGGCCACGGCGCCCGGGGAACAGCCTGGCCAGGGTGCATTGGAGGGGCCCTGGGGCACACAAAGAAGTACGCACAAAGCATAGGATTCCCCATATCTTCGGGGTCTTTGTCTCCCCCCCCCCCCACCTCCCTTCCTGGGAGTCGACGACGAATGGTGTCTGTGTGTGTGTTTTGTCCCCTCCCTCATTCATGATGTTCACATGCGTTCAGTCCCCACCCACCCCTGCTATAACAGGGGGTATGGCGACCGCAATCTCCGCCTCTATGGCGATCTCGACTGGAACCAGAAAGTTGGGTCCAGCTCGGGGGTCTACGATTTACGACGGGGTGCGCCTATCCTCGAGATAGGGGTGCGTCCAAGTCGCCTGCGATGTTGGACGCCCCTTGTGTTAAGGCCTCCCAGATCGGGTCGGAGCAGACGAGGTCGGAGGATCTCGCCGTATAGTCGATGCATCGGCGACGTCGGCGATGCATCGGCGACGTCGGCGTGGAGAACATCGAGTTCCATGTCGAGCCGCATCGCCCCTGCTTCGGCGATGTGGCGGGACCCTCCGACCCGATCTGCTCTGACCTCACCAGGGAAGCCTACTGCCAGGAACTTTTGCTCCGCGAGTCGCGGCGGCGGCCCCGGCGACGTGCCCTGCCTCGCGAGCGGATGGCCTGGCGCTCCGCTGTGCGGGGCGGGGGAAGCTTCGAAAAGCTCGCGCCGTTGACGCTTGGGGACTGGGACGGGATTCCGGGAGCGGCCAAGAGGGGGGGGTCCAAGAGGGGGGGGTGCAAATCATGACCGGCGGCATGTGCGCGGCCCAGCGGGGGGGCCAGGGACGTATTAAAACAAGAAGAGGCGCCATTAAATCTGGGGAGATATCATGGCCCCCACCATGATATCCCCCCCCCTAGTCATCACCCCCTTCTTTTCCGCCCCCCGAAGATTGGCGTGTCGCGCCGAGGCGCGGTGGGCCGGAAGCAGCGGCGCGGCACGCCAAGCAAACGCTCCTCACGGGAACCCGAGTGATCCTCATCCTTTGGGCTT